CAGTGCCTGCCATGTGCAGCACAGGCCAGAGAAGGAACAGAGCACCCACCCAGCCTGCAGCCCTGAGTTCCTTCTTCCTCCAGAAACTGCAGACCGTCTCAGCGGGGAGAGGGATTCCCCAGACCCCTGGCTCTTCTTCAGTTCTCAGAGAGCGGGAGAGGAGGCATCTGGGAGATGGCTTGGGCGCCCCAGAACTAGTCCGTCTGCCTGCTGTGAACCCTGTCTCTGCTCCGGCTCCCCCTTCCTGCCCTGGGGTGCCAGGGGTTAAGGGACCGGTGCGGGACACGAGGAGGGAGTGGCAGGGGGGTCCAGGCCCTAGTCCCTAGTCACTGGCTCGTAAAAGCTAAGAGGAGTTTAACTGCAGGTCACGGTGCTGGTGCTGCCCTGGGAGGGGGAGGGGCGCCTTCCGGAGGGGAAGCGGGGGCCACAGCTGGCCAGCGGCAGGCCCAGGCCTGTCCAGCTTCAGATGCTGGCAGTTGACATCAACAGTGCCAGCCACAATGGAGCCCCGACTTAACGCTGGAGGTTCTCCAAGAAGCAGGAAGACTCCGGAGAAGGGGAGCCCGACTCCGGTGCCCGGCGCCGACCGCAGCAGGCAGGCATGGCAGCAGGGAAAGAGGTGATGCTCTCTGCCAGGCCAGCAGGAAGCACCAGCCTGGAACAAAGGCAGAGGGACAGAGAAGGAAGGGTCCTGGGGTCAGGGAGGAAGAACAGTGAGGGCTGCGGGCACTCGGGGTCTGCAGGTACTTCGCGGCTGCCCACGCCGAAGGGGCCGGCTGAGCCAGCGGCCTCTCTCGGGGGATGAGATTCGGTCTGGACACGTCCTCAGCCAGTGCATCCCCACCTCTTCCCTCTCGCCCGCCCAGCTCCAGGCCCGGCCCAGCCCTGAGGAGAGCGTTGGCAGCTGGGAACCAGGTGCCGGAGCCAAAAACAACAGAGGAGCGGCCTGGCTGCCTGGGCGCCGCGCGGACCCTCGCCGGCTCTGCCCGCGACTCCTCCGGCTGCGGGAGGCCCTCTGCGCACCCCGACGGTCCGACCCTGCCAGGCCGCAGCTGCCCAGGAGGTCACTGTCACCCCTCCCTTTGAGTCCAGCTGCCCCTTTCTTCAGGCCACTCGAGATTCTCTGCCCCCACTTTCCCTGGTTGGCAGGGAAGCCCGTCGCCTGCTTTCCAGGTCTGTGACCCTGTCTCCCGGCACCTCAGCCCTTGCCGCAGGCTCTTTTCGGGTCTAACCTCCATGCGTCCTGCTGCAACAGCATCCTGCTGTGGGGAGACTCACAGCCGGGCCTTAAAAGCTCTGAGAAGGGCTGGGTCCCTGCACCCGGGGAGATAGGCAAGAAAGGAGCATTCCCCTCTGTACTGAGGGGTCAGCCCAGACCAGGGGGCAGGAGGCTTGAGTTCACACTGCCCCACGTGGAATGCTGACGGCCTGGGGACCCAGCTGACACCACTGTCCTGGCCACCCCTGGCTCCTTCCTCCTACTCTGGGACCCATCCTCCTCCCCCCACCCCCCAGCTGCCCCTCCACTGAGTGGCAGAGACCCAATGTCCAGCCTCACCTGGGTTTAATTTCTAACATGACTCCCAGCCAACAAACTCTCTGACCCAGCAGATGCAATAACACAGCTCAGGGTGAGGCTCTTGTACAAGTGCTGAATTTGGCCAGAGAATCTTCTCGTCCCAGTTGGGGGGGGGCGAGGGGGAGGGGTCCGTGACTCTCCCATTCTTTCCAACCCCAGCTGGGCTGCTGGTCCCTCCCCGCCCCATCCTCACAGAAGTGATGGAGAGGGGGTAGGGGCGGCTCCCCTTCCCAAGCCCCCAGACCCCTCGGTACCGCGCACATCGCCATCCACGTGGGCTCGCGCCCCTCCACCCAGCCAGGACCGTGCCTGCCTCCACTCCTTGCGCTGCAAAACCAGCCACTTTCCCCCTAGCCACACCGCAGTGGGAACAAAGCCCCAGAAAGTTCCTTTCCTAAATGTCAGTCCTGTTTCCTCCCCACCCCACCCCCATCCTGCCTCTGCTGCCCCAGCTTTTCTCACCAACTTTGCACCCCCTCCCTGAGTCTCCAGATTCCTGCGGGGAGCCCCCAACAGGGGTAGGGCCAAGGCTCCTAGGGAGCTAGAAAGGGACAAGGGGTTGTGCACCCCCCCGCCCCCTCCCCCCCAGCAGATCTGTATCAGGTTTGGTCGTAATGAAAAGGCCAGCGACACTAGGAAATTCCTTCCCCCTTATTGATCCTGGAGGGAAATTAAAGCCAGTTGTCTGTGACTGAGCGACTGACGGGGGCTAAGCTCCTCCCCGCTGCCTGGTTCGAGGCCTAGCCCCTGGGACCCCCCCATCCTCCACTGTGAGCCCCCTTTCCCGCCCCCAGTCTTTCGTCCCATCCCCAGGGCCCCCCTAACTCCCTTCCCCTGCACCCTCCGGAAGTCCTCTCCACGTGCCCGCCAGCATGCCCCCCCCCCCCCGGCTGACAGGACTGCTGCGGGCTGAGACCCCCGGCCTAGCTGCTTCTCAGCACCCTCTCCAGACCCTGTCCCCACCCCCTCAGCCAGGGTTGGGGTGCAGGGGCCGGAGCTCAGGCTCAGAGCTGCCAAACCACAAGCACACACATCTGGAAAAAATTCCCTTCCCAGCCCCACTTCCCTTTGTCTTACTTCTGTCTTTGGAACTTCTGGCTGCCTGGCCAAGGGTGGGGGGGAGTGAGGAAGTGAAGGGAGGTGTAGGGGCCCAGGCCTCCCTGCCCACCCCCCCCCCCAGAGAGCCCCTTCCAGCCTCACCAGGCCCCTCAGCCAGACCACATCCCTCCTCTGCGCCCCCCTGTAGGCCAGTTCCTGCTGACCATCTTTTGGGTGAGGTTTTAACATCCTTAGTCACCAGACCCGTGGGAGAGCCGGCCGCACCGGCCCTGCTCTGTCGCCACAGGAAAGATGCCCCCCGGGGCCAGGGACTGGACCTTCTGGCTGGGGGAGAGGGGGTCGCGGTGACTGGGGTGCAAGCCCGGGGCGCAGGGAGGGGGAAGGAGGGGTCCCTGCCGGTTCCCTCCCCCAGGCCTCTCCTCATCCCTTTGGCCAGGAGCCTGATTTCGCTGTCAGAACCTCATCCCCCTCCCTTTACCTACAGCAGCGCCAGAGGGTGGGGGAGGAGCGCAGCCGGCCTCCAACCCCAGGCCCCAACTTCACCCCTACCCCCCTTCCCTCCACCCCTTCTGCTTTTGTCTGTCCTTCCTCCCAGAGCTCCGACCGACCTGCTGCCCTCTTACTGCAGAAGCCCGGGCCGCCCCCACCCCCCGCCCGCCCCCAGATAAGCCCTCCCATCCACCCGAACCCAGGACCCCTAAAGCCAGACGGAAGCATCCCTCCCTCAAACAGGGCAGTTGGGCCGACCTGCACCTTCCCACATCCATTCCTCCTGCGCACAGGCACCCTGGCGGCTTCTGTTTCAACACAGGCATTATTCAAAGACGTCCCTCTTTACAGCACCGGGTCCCGAGCCCCGGCACTTCTCGAGGCTTCGGTGGAGCCCCCGGCCCCTCTCCTAGGGCTCTGCTCGCCCAGACTCCTCCCCAGCCAAAGCCCCCAAGCCCAGTGACCCGGCCAGGGCTCGAGTACGAAGGGTTCAGAACCCCAGTGAGCCGCTCCTCTGCCCCTCCCACGGCCACGCTGGCAGGGAGGGGCCAGCGCTGGGACCCGATGCGGGGCTCTTCCTCGTGCGGGGCCGGAGCGGGGCGTCGGTGCCGGGCGCCGCGGGCAGCGGGGCCACGTGCACGCCTTCGACGAGGGCAAGGGGGCCGCGGCCCGAGCGCCAGGCCCGTCCGCCTCCGCGGCTCTACCGTTTGCGGCCTCCGGGCTCCCGGCCGGCCTTCGGGGCTCCCCGCGGGACCTCCATTGGTTTCGGGCCCCCGGCCCGCCCCGCAGGGGTCTCCGAGGGGAGCTGGGCCCTGCCGCCTCCTTTGATGTCCCGCCCCGAAGCTGCAGGCGGAGGGGCGGTCTCTCCTTCCGCCCGTTTGCGCAGGACGGTGACACCTGAGACCCCGCCCCACCCCTTCCCGGGGCACCCAGCCTCTCTCCAACCTGGGTGGCAGCGCGGCGCGCCGGGGCGCCGCGGCTCCGCGCCTCCGTCCCCGCCTCCCCTCCCCGCCGCCCGCTGCGATCCCCTGGGGGTCCGCGTAGCCGGGAGACGGAGAAACCGCCTTAATAAAGAGCTCGTGTCAAGTGATTGGCTGTGACCTCTGCCCTCCCCAGCCTCGCGCCCGGGGCTCCTGCTTAACCCTTCGATGCCCGCCCAACTATTAAGAGGAAGGAGTCTCCCCCGCGCCAACTTCCAGAGTCCCCAGCGTCCCCTGGCACTGCCGCAGCCCTAAACGCTGGGGGGGACCAGCGTGGCGCGGGGGGGGGGGGGCGCCCCCTCCCAGCCCCCTCCAGCCGTTCCAGCAGGGGGCGCCGTTGCCCCACTCGGGTGCCTGGCCCTGCAGCCCCTGGCCTCCCCGGCGGGTCCCTGAACTTGGGGCGGTCGCGCTGGACCCCAGTTCGGGCCCCAGTGGAGCGGAGCCCCGCCGCCCGCCTCTTCCGCAGCTCCGGCTCGGAGCGGGGTTCGCCCGCCGGTGGGGTAGCTGGGTGCCCGGCGCCAAGGATCGAGCGCAGCGAGTCGGGTTGGGGAGCGGTGGGACCAAGCGAGACGTGACCCTGGGGCTCGCACTGCAGGACGTGAGACCTGGGTCTCTGCGCCCCGGGCCTGGTGCCCCCTTCTCTCGGCTGAGAGCCCAAGCCGAGCGCTCGCCCGTGTCGCCTCCCCAGCCACCCCGGGCGCGGGAGCCAGCTGTCTCGGCCCGGCGAGCCCTGGACCCGCCCACGGGGCCAGCTCCAGAGGCAGGGGAGCCGGGGCTCAGGGCCCCCCAGGTGGGGTGGGGGCGGGGCGGGAGGCGGAGCCATCCCCCCCCTCGGGCAGGGGCGGGCCGGCGCAGGGTATAAAAGCTGCCCGCGCGGGAGCCCGAGCCAGCTCTGGGGTTGTCCTGGCTCCTGGGTCTCACGACCAGGCGACGGCAACATCTCATTTGACTGAAAGCGTCCAGTGCTCCGACCAAAGCATCCAAGGGGACCGCCCCCCGCGCCTCCACCATGCCCAACTTCTCAGGCAACTGGAAGATCATCCGGTCGGAAAACTTCGAGGATTTGCTCAAAGTGCTGGGTAAGGAGATTTTCCAGCGCCGGGCGGGCTGGCGGCGCGGGGAGGTGCGCACGAGAAAGAAAGGATGGCAGGGGTCAAGGCGCGGGAGCTTGGGCGTCCGCATCCCCCCAAAAAGGGGCCGAACGCCGGGGGGTCGGGGGCTCTGGGCCGGGACCTTTAGCTCCGGTGCCAGCTCCTGTGGCGACCAGCCTGTGGCTGTGGTAGAAAGCACGAGGTCGGTGTCCTCGGGGGTGGGGCAGGGCAGCTCCGGAGCCGCAGACCCTGCCTCCGCCCCCCCCACCCCCTCCCCCCGGCTGGGAGCCCCCGTCCTTCCTCAACCGAGCCCCTCGGACACCTTGCCGCCTCCTTGCCCTGCCCCCCCCCCAGCCCTAGCCCCGAGCCCGGGGCAGCTTCCTTCTCTCCCTGCGCCCGGCTCCACCCCCCAGGTGATGGGCCCCGCGGGCTCCCACGGAGGCCCCTTCCTTCCCGCTTCCACGCTTTCCACTCTGGGCCCTCCACCCTCCATCTGGGAGACAAAAACCTTTGTAAAGCAGGCAGCTCCTGAGTCCTAAATCTCTGGGTAATTATCACTTTCTTGGATTTCAACAAATGGCTTCGGGTGAAATGCCAACCCCCCCATTTCCGAAAAAATCTGGGCTCTCTTCTCCCTCCCTCCTCGGAGGCCCGGGGCAGCCCTGTAAGGTGTGGGGGTTAAAGGTGAGGGGGAATGAAGCGGACTCTCACCGCCTTTCCCAATTCCTGGGTGCCCTGAGGGGGGGGGGGAGCCGGGGCTGCTGGGAGGGGGCTTTGGGAAGAGAGGGGCTGGTTAAGAACCTGGGCACCCCTGCTGCCTGCAGGGAAGCATGGGGACTGAACACAGTGACCCCAGTTGGGCAGGGGTGGGGGGCACACCTCGTGTGGGGCGGGATGCAGGGGTGAGTCTGGACCTCAGAAGAGTCTGTTCCCATCAGGCCTCACCATCGCTCTTGCCTCCAAACCCCAGCACACCGATCCCGCCCTGCCCTTGCTGAAATTAAAAACCAAAATGATCAAAACTCCCCCTTCAGAAAGCCTCGCTGCCATTCCCTACCCCCTTGTCTGGATCCCATCCCCCCCGCACCCCCCCCCAGTCCCCAGTGGATGAGGCCGGAGGTGGCCAGGCACACCCACAGGCCCAGCTGGAGGCTAAGAGCCCAAGCCCAACCCTGTTGTCCATCTGTCTTTGGTCTGTTTGTCCTCCCTGCAGGGTCCCCCAGAGCCACGTGCCCTCCTCAGGTCCTGCTGGGGGCAGATTGAAAACAGACCCATTAGACAAACAGCCCTGGCTAGAGCGGGGTCTCACCCAGCCTCACCTCTGCAGGAGGTCAGGCCCCCCCTGCCCCCTCTGCCCCAGGCAAGGATCCCTCTCTGGGTGAGGCCTGCCCAGGTGCTTCCCGGGATATGGGTCCCATCCACTAAGGGAGGCTGGCTGTGTGAGCAGACTCTGTTCCTGTGACAGGGAAGATGGGTGTCCGATAGTGACGCGGACTTCCCGGGGCAACACAGAATAAAGATAGGATGGGATGGGTCTCCTCTACCGAGGTGACTGGGTCTGGGAACCTCGGTCATTTCTCCCTGGGACCCCTGGGGGAGTCCGCCCACTCTCCCGGTCCCTTCTTTCTGTTTCTGGGTTTTTTTTTTTTAATGTTTTATTTATTTCTGAGAGAGAGACAACATGAGCAGGGGAGGGGCAGAGAGAGGGAGGTACAGAATCTGAAACAGCCTCCAGGCTCTGAGCTAGCAGTCAGCACAGAGTCCAAGGCGGGGCTTGAACCCACGAACTGTGAGATCATGACCTGAGCCAAAGTCAGAAGTTTAACCGACTGAGCCACCCAGGCGCCCCCGCCCCTTCTTCTGGAACAGAGTGGGTCTGCTTTGGTGCGAAGGGGAAAGCGGATTTGTTTCTCTAGGAACCCAGGTCCGCAGGAGGGCCAGGGAGCTCTGATCCCCACCCATTGCTTCCCTGAAGGTCTCTGCTCCAGGTCAGGGTCGGGGTACCCAGAGGGTGAAGTGGGGTGATACTTAGACACGCCTTTGGCCTGCTTGTCTTCCTGTAAGACAGTTGCACTCTCCTGGCGTCCCTACCCTTCTCAGTGACTGGAGAGCAAAGGGAAGGGGTCCAATTTGGGCAAGGACGTGGGGACAGGCCAGGGACTCTGAGTCACACAGGCTGAACAAGAAGACCTGACCACCGAGGCCAGGACGATCCTAGAGCAGGGAACATCTTGGTGGGCGCAGGGGCGGGGGGAGGGGCCAGGAGGGCAGGGGGGCAAGGGTCTGATGCAGGGAACTTTGAGCCCCAGCTCTGGCTTTTTCTTTGACTTCCTTTTCTCAGTAAAAATAATAGCAGCAAGAAAAGCTCCTGCTTCCTGAAAACTGAAAGGTGTACTAGCGCCGTGTGCCCTAAGTCCTGCACACATCACCCCCGAGCACACATCACCCCTGCGCGCCCATCACCCCCAAGCATGCATCACCCCTGCGTGCCCATCACCCTTGTGCACGCATCACCCCTGCGCGCCCATCACCCCCAAGCATGCATCACCTCTGCGCGCCCATCACCCTTGCGCACGCATCACCCCCAAGCATGCATCACCCCTGCGCGCCCATCACCCTTGCGCACGCATCACCTGTGCGCTGGGCTCTGAAGAAGCTGTTGTTTCCACTTTACAACTGAGGAATCCAAGGCTCCGAAGGGTTCAGTTGTTTGCCCAGCGTCACCTGGCCCGCAAGAGAGGCCGAGCCTGTGGATGTCAGGGCCGAGTGCATCTCACGGCAGAGCCTCTGGCCATTCCGTAGATGGGACCAGCCGCCCCACCCTTTCACCCGCTGCGGGTCCCCGCTCCTCAATTTGGGGAGGGACAGGGACTGGGGCAAATGAAGGCCAACCCAGCACCAGACAGGGGAGGCGGGTAGGGCAGAAAGGAGAGTGGCCCCTACTTCCCGGATGGGAGCAGCGAGGCCTGCCTGGGGAGGGTCTGGCCTGCAGGGATGAAGACGGTGACTCTGACGAGCCCACCCCAACAGAGGGTCTCAAGCAGGGTGGACAAAGGGAGGCAAGTGAGGTGAACTGGACCAAGGCGAGGGTGCCTGCGTCCCCCTGCAGGGGTGAACGTGATGCTGAGGAAGATCGCGGTGGCTGCCGCGTCCAAGCCAGCAGTGGAGATCAAGCAGGAGGGAGACACTTTCTACATCAAAACCTCCACCACTGTGCGCACCACGGAGATCAACTTCAAGATCGGGGAGGAGTTCGAGGAGCAGACTGTGGACGGGAGACCCTGCAAGGTGAGTCCCTGGGCGGGGGGTGGCCTCCATTGCCCTCCCTCAATCCAGGAATCCCTGCCTTCTTGGATTCTTTGCTCTCGCGGCCTCGCCCCTGCCGCGGACCCGGCTCACCTGGCCTCTCTCCTGCAGAGCCTGGTGAAGTGGGAGAGTGAGAACAAAATGGTCTGTGAGCAGAGGCTTTTGAAGGGAGAGGGCCCCAAGACCTCGTGGACCCGGGAGCTGACCAATGACGGGGAGCTGGTGCTGGTAAGCTGCTCCCCGCTGAGCACGAGCCCGGCGCCGCCTTCGGGGCTTTGCTGGGACACGCCAGGGCGCTGGAGGGTCAGGACCCACTATAGCTGGTCCCCCGCCTCCTGGTGGGGCTGCTGGGGAAGGACTAAGCTGTCCCTGTCCCACATGCCACCGCTGGGTGGCTGTGGAAGGGTGTCCGGGTGGAGCAAGGGATGTGGGCTGAGAGGCAGGGTGGCCTCTGGACATCCTCACAGCTTGGGGACGAGGATGCAGGACAGAGCCCAGGGGGCTCTGTCGCCATCCTCCCTCCCATGACACCAGGGCACTTTGGGGCCAGCTCCTGCCTGTCGGTCCTGAATCTAGAAGCAGGACCAGGGGCCTTCCAGGTTAACGATGACTTCTGACTTACGTCCTTCTAGACCATGACGGCGGATGATATCGTGTGCACCAGGGTCTATGTCCGAGAGTGAGAGTGAGCGGCCGGGGGGGTCCCAGAGCCGCCAGAGCCCCGCCCCCCAGCCCGTGCTCCTGCCCCACTGCCCCTCCCCCCTTCCTTCTAGGCTAGCTCTTCCCTCACTCCCTCACCCTGCTCACTTCCGGGGACGCTGGGATGCCTCCAGCGGGGCCTCCTTTCCTCCCCTCCCCCAACAAAGAGGGACAAGGCGAGAGCCCAGATCGCCGGGTCCAGAATCACTCCCCCTCCCCAGCCAGCAGTCCCGGCCCCAAAGCAGCCCCAGCACAGCCTCTCTCTGTGTGAGGGGACCTGCAAGCCCTCTGGCTTCCACTCTGTGTCCCGGTAGCCTACACAGTGTAGAATATTTATTGGTTAATTTTATTAAAATGTTTTAAAAAATATAACCTGTCTTTGGCTTCTTGGGAAGGGGACAGATGAGTCTCCTGAGTTCCACTTTGCCTCTGAAATGCAGTGTTCAAGCAAGTGTTGAAGAGCAGGATGGGGGGGGGGATGGGCCTGCCCCTCCCCCTCCCCCTCCAGCCTCCTGCCCCTGCCCCCCAAGAGCCGACTCCCCCCATGAGGGTGAGCCAGCTTCCTCCTGTCCTCCAGCTCCAGTCCGTGGGCCACCCCAGCCTGGCCTCGGCCTCCCACATGGTCCCAGGTGAGCTCACCGACGCGCCCGCAGGCCGGCCGTGCTCCTGCCCAGGCCTCCTGATGGGACCCCACTGTCTCAGCCTTGACGCAGCGCTCCTGCCCCTCCCACGCCCTCCCCCCCCCACGCACGCTCAGGTCCAGGCCCTACTGCATCTCTCTCTCAAGTGCCGGCCCCCCTCCCGCAGGCCAAGGCTCCCCCCCCCAGACCATCTCAGGGCTCACCTGTTTATCCAGCAGCACTTTCCTGAGTCCAGGGGTGAAGTGAGAGCAAGCCGTCACCGTCACCGGCTGCTTATGTGATCTCAAAGAAGTTACTTCGTTTCTTTGAGCCTTAGGTCTGTGGTCTAATGGCTTCCATGCTGGGAAGTTTCGGTGCAGCCAAATCCGGGCAAGGTCACCAGCCTCTTCCCCCGCCCCCATCCTGTTCTGCTCCCTTTGTGTTCTGGCCACATTCAACCCTGTCACATAGACGTTTGCCCTTCATCCTGGAAAATTGTCTTCAGATGCTCCCCACTTACATGGTTACAGCTTGGGGTCCCCAAAACAAGAGGGACTCTCCCAGGGTCCATACCTTCGTCCCAGAAAGGGTTGGGTTCTGCTGGATCGCCTGACTGTCGACTTGGTAGTGGCAGGGCAGGGGGGCCCGGACCTCATGTCCACGGGACAGGCGGGCCGGTGTGACAAGCCTCCCGGGGTCCCATGGGATGGAAAGGAGCACTTTCCTGTAAGGAGGGCTGCAGATTTCTAATCGAGAACATAGCAATTATGTACAACGGCCACCTCGCAAAGCATCATGGTTAAATGGGTCTCGTTACGTACACAGCACTTAGCAGTAGTAAGGCCTCACAAAATGAGGATCCTACAGCTCTGACCCACCCTTCAAAATGCTGCCTGGGGTGGGGGGCGCCTGGGTGGCTCAGTCGGTTAAGCGTCTGACTTCGGCTCAGGTCACGATCTCATAACTGGTGGGTTCGAGCCCCGCGTCGGGCTCTGTGACAGCTCAGAGCCCGGAGCCTGCCTTAGGTTCTGTGTCTCCCTCTCTCTCTGGCCCTCCCCTGCTCACTCTGTCTCTCTCTCTCTCTCTCTCTCTCAAAAATTAAAAAAAATAATAATAAATTTTTTAAAAAAGATTTTTAAAAATGTTGCCAGGGGGCGAGAGAAGGGATTCTTCAAAACATGAACTGTATAATGTCGGTGTCCTGTTCAAAACACCATAAAACAAAACAAAACCCGTATTAGCTGCAGCCCCTCTTTTTGTCGGGAATACAGTCCAAACAGGCATCAGAGGCCATTTGCCACGTGGACCCTACGCCTTCCTGCATGTGCCCCTCCCCCGCACGGCAAGCCGCCCTCCCGCCTATGGGAGCCCAGCACTTCTCCAAAGCTTGGCCTGTCACTGGCAGCGGCCTCTCCCACCAGCAGTGCTGACAGCCAGTGGTCACATATCGCGGCCTGTGTGTGGCAGGTGAGCCTCCGCTCCCTGCAAGGCCAGGGTGCCCTGGGGCCAGGGCCCCTAGCTCCTGCCCCTCAAGAGAGGCCACATGCTGCAGCTGAGGGCAGAAGGTCAGGGCCCAGGAGTGTCCAGACTCCTCGGGCAGGCCGGTCCCCTCTCTGAGTTTGGGGTGGGGGAGATGGTGGGCCCTTTCATGTATGTATCACACGGCTGTTTCCCGAGAGCCTCTGGGAGCTGGGCACCCTGCTAGGTGCTGGGAACACGGAAATGAATCCAATGGGCAAGACGGCTGCCTTCATGGGGCCTGTGGGAGGGAACAGAGCTTTAGCGGGAAAGAGAAGACTAGAAACATAAGTGCACCATGTAAGCAGACCATGTAGCCACGTATGTGCCCAAAGGAAAGGGGGGCAGGGGAGAGAGCACCACCGAGGAGACCTCATTTACACGGGGGGCGGGCAGGGGTGTTGAGAGCGGGTGCTCTGGAGGACGGAGAACGTCGGGGGCCTGAGGATGCAGTGGGGTGAAGCAGACGGGGACGCTCCCGAGGCAGGGGAGCACAGGGTGAAGTCCCCGGGGACAGTCTGGGGCCGCCCAGGGTCCAGGGACTGGAGTGCAGGCCAGATGGGGCCTTCAGGGGCCAGCAGGAGGCTGGCGAGATGCTGGAGCCGAGGGTGTGGACCACGTGATCCCCGAGTCAGGGCACGAGGGGCCAGAAAAGGCCAAGTGTCAAGAGCGGCTGTGTGGGGGTGCTGTTTTCAGAAATGGAGAGATGGATCCGGGCTTTCTGGATGCCAGTTTGGTTTGTTTTAATCCGGAAGTGCCCTAACTCCTCAGCCTGAGGCCCAGCTGCATTTCCTTTCTGCATCCCCTCCTCCCCTAACACCTCACCCTTCCCACCTTAGCTTGTCCCCCCCCCCCCAGAGACCTTTCCCCAGGCCCTCCCTGCCCCCTTCTCAGGCCTGTGTGGCTTGAGCATCTGCTCTTGCTTTTCGCCCAGTTTATCTCTTCCTGAATCAAGTTGCTGAGAAGAGCAGAGACTAGAGGCATGTTTCTGTTTCCCAAGAGGCTGGAGGGCAGGGGCTGGACCTTCCCCGTCAGACTAGGGGCTCCTGGAGGGCAAGGACGGGGTCTCCTCCATCAGGCTGGGCTTCTCCCATCAGACTGGGGACTCCCAGAGGGCAGCGACTGGGTCTCCCCCCTCAGACTAGGGGCTCCTAGATGGCAGGGCCTGGGTCTCCTCCATCAGACTGGGGGCTCCTGAGGGACAATGGCCGTGTGTTCCCCCCCCCAGACTGGGCTCGCTGAGGGCGAGGCCCGCCCCCTGGCTCTGCTTCCCCAGCACTCGCCCGCCTTCCAGCCCGAGGGGACAGGGAAGTTACAGCCCAGGACCGAGAGATGGGATCAGGGAGGGGCCGCCTCACCCATCTGGCCCAGCCCGTGAGAAAGTCCCTGCAGCTTCCCTCCCGCCCTGAAGCTCTCTTCCTCCTCGCCCGTTACCTGGGCCTTCATTACTCAGGGGTGCCTCTGGAAGGAGATGCACAGGGCTCTGACCCGCCCCCCACGACGTGCCTGGGGCAGGACCTTCTCAGAGCTCACGGAGGGGCAGCACAGGGACCTGGGCCACCCACCTGCTCTGGTCCTGCAGAGCGAGGAGACCAGAGAAGGTAGGGGGTGCGTGTGATTCCCCCCTGGGGTTGGCCGGGGGAGGGGGAGGCCTGCACCAATGTCCTAGGGAAACTGAGGTGCGCACACGCTCGTGCACGCGCGTGCGGTGCAGAGACAGGAGCATGCTCCGGAGACAGGCCTCACAGGTCAAAGCCAAGAGACTCAGGGCACAGCCAGACCGAAGAGGTGAAGCCTGCAGGCTGGGGTGGGGGTGGGGGGGCGGAACCGGAAGACACCTCCGTGCCTGCCTGCGTGCGACTGGAAGGGACCCAGAGGGGAGGGCGCACAGAAGTGGGGCTGGAGACAGGGGGCCCTGAGGGTGAGGGGAGAGGGAGAGGCTGGGAGGGCTGGGGGGTGGGGGCAGGGTCCGGGAGAAGGAGGGAATCCAGGAGGGGGTGGGAGTCATAGGAGAGAGGCCCGCTTGCTGGTCAGGCCCTCTGACCCCAGGTCCCAACAAAGGGCCCCCGAAGGACGGCCACAGGCACAAGATGGATGGCACCGGGTGGCCGGGCCCTTTGTGGCGGGGGATGAAAGGGAGCGGACCCTGAGGAGTGCCCCCCCCCCGTCCCCCGCCCCTTCCCTCATGACTGGGCTGCTGGCTCCCCTGCCCCTCCCCCAGTGACCTCAGGAGCCTTGGAGTGTTGTGGGGGGTGGTAGGAGATGGGGGGGCAACCTGAGTCCAACCAGGTATTTCCCCTGGCTGGGCCAGCGCTACCTGAGGAAGACGGGGGGGGGGGGGGGGGGGGGGGGGGGGGGGGGGGGGGGGGGGGGGGAGGCAGGCAGAAGGACTGGGGGGCTGGGGTTCCTTGGGTCTGTAGAGAAAGGGAGCCCGGGTGAGTAGGGCGCAGACTGTGTGCCAGAGCCGGCAGGGCTGTCCCGGAGGCGGGTGACGCCCGGGGGTCCCGGGGGGCAGGCCCTCCTGCCCCTCCCTCGGGGCTGCCGCCCCCCTGACCTCCCGGCCTCTTCCTGTCCCCGTCCGCCTTGGCACTGCCAGTCGAGAAACCAGTTCTGTTCCCGTCCTGGATAAGGATCTCTGGGCTGGGCTCTTCCTGGGCTGCAGGAACCTGGCAGCCTGGGCACCCCCACCCCCAGCCGGGCCGCCGGGGTCTCCCCCTTCCTCCCCAGCCCTGCCACGGCCTCCTTCCCCTCGAGGAAGACTTCTTCTCCCAGCAGCCCAGTAAGGGGCAGGGGGCCTCCCTCCCTGCTCCCTTGGGGTGCCCCAGAGCCTGGTCCCTCTCCCCCTGCCCCCTCTGCCCCCTCCCTCAGGCTCCCCACGGGGCACTGACAATTGCTCCCTATGGTGGGGTCAGCCCCTCCCCGGTCACCAGCGCGGAAGGGGGCACGGTGACACGGGCTTGACCCCACTTAACCCCAGCCCGTGGTCTCCTCCTGAATCATCATTCCCATGTCATTCTGGTCCCTCTCTCATCCCTGGGAGCTGTCCCCCCAACCCCCTAACTCTGCCAACCCGGAGGGATGTAAAAGGTCATCTCCTGCATTCTTCGGCCTCCTCATCAAATGTCTGCCTGACCTCTGCCCTCGCCCAGCGCCCCAGAAACCTCAGGCCGCCCCGCCCCCAGCTCCTCCACCAGCACCGGCCAGCCTCTCCCGGCCTGCAGGGTCGCGGCC